CTCTCCTGCCTAGCTATTGGCTGTTTAGCTTTTTATTAGACCAATTAGCTGCCTTAGGCAGGCAAGGTGAAACAAATGCAACACTTCTCTACATGATTACATAAATGCAGCATAAACAAAGGTAATATATCTTTACATCATTAACAAAGGCAGCAGAAACAAATGTAACACTTCTTCACATAGTTCAACACAATATTCCACAGCACAAACAAATGTAACACATCTTTACAAAGTTAAAATAATATTCCACAAGCCTTGTGCCCTCCCCACCAGGGATTCCCATGCTCAGTGAGGGTCATTGGCCATCAGGGAAATGCAAATGGAAAGTACAATAAGATACTATTTCACACTTGCTGAGATGGAGATAATACATTCATATGGTAACATGTTGGAAACAATGTAGAAATTGGAACCCTTGTATACCACTAAGGGCAGCTTGGTAGCCATTTTGGGAAAGCATTTGCTAACTTGATCCTGTTAGTCAGGTTAGCTCCAGGAGGGACTAGAAATGCTCCCCACCCCCATAAAGAACAAAAGATGGTAGTGATTGCTCCAGCTGGGCCAGCTAAATTCAAACTGGATCAGTTCACCCATAAATCAAGGACTTCCTTCTGTCAGGTCCAAAAGAAACTCAAGACAAGTGGTTAACTATGGTGCCTATTAGCATACTAAAGTGCATTCTGGCCTCCAGGCTCTCAGCATGGCAAATGTCTGTTAGAGAGTCCATGCTGGCATCCTGGCTCTTCTCATCATGCTCCATACCCTCAGCTTCTCATGGGTTTCCCTTCCCCTAGCTTCTCATTCTTATGTAACCCTGCCATTTCTGCCGTGTGCCCTCTGGTTTCTCTCTCTCTCTTGGCCCCTTCTCTCTTGATCTCCTTTGCCCATAATCTCTTCTCTTCCTTTTCATTCTCCCTATGTTATTGTAGTAACATATTGTTTATGATTTATTAAAGCCACTGGAGATCAAAATAGCAAAGCAGCCATATTAGTTAGCCATAGAAGCCAGGCAGTGGTGTCCCACACCTTTAATCCCAGGACTTAGGAGACAAGGCAGATGGACCTCTGTGAGTTCAAGGACATCCAGGGCTACACAAGATTGAATCAGTCTAAATGAGTAACAGAGCTCAGGCCTTTAATGCCAGCACTAGCAGGGTCTTCAGTAGTCAGTGTTATGTTTTTATTTAAAAAGAGGAAAAGAGAAAGCTGCAAGATGAGACATGTTAACTAGTTTATTATATGGCCTGGCAGAGTAGGGAGACTAAGAGAGAAGAGGAACAGAGGTAATGGCTTGCCCGCCATAGCCGGTCGCCATAGAGAGAGGCAGAGAGAGCACGTAGGTGAGAGAGAGCCAAGAAGAAACAGAGAGTAAAGAAGCGGTGTAAAGAGAGGAAGCAGAGAGAGAGCGAAGCAGGAAAGTTGGAGCTTTTAAAGGGAAGACTGTGCATGCGCACCGAGGTTCCACACATGCGTGGTGGGTGACGTGGTGATGACGTAGCACGTTTTCTTGTGGGTGCCCTGACTGTTGTCAGGGGGCAGGGTCTGTCTCTTAAAGAAGTAGAGCCGATCAGCATCAAAGCCTGAACCTTTCAGTCAGTCTCAGGATTATTCTCCAGCCAGACTGAGGAGAGGCAGATCAGAGGCTTGGTGGAGAGCTTGTGGAGACAGGATCAGCTCTTTTAGCCTGGGGTAGAGGTAAGAGCTAGTGGCCAGCTGCTTTGATTTTCTGATCTTCATCTTGAATCTTGAACCCCAATATCTGTCTCTGGGTTTTTATTTTTCGTGTTACAAGTTTTAGTTAGGATTACTTTTGCTGCCATGAAACAACATGACCAAAGCAACTTGGAGAGTAAGGGGTTTATTTGGCTTACACTTCCACATCACAGGTCATCATTGCAGGAAGTCAGGACAGGAACTCAAGCAGGGCAGGAAACTGGAGGCAAAGATTGATACAGAGGCCATAGGGAGGTGCTGCTTACTGACTTGCTCCCCATGGCTTGCTCAGCCTGCTTTCTTATAGAATCCAGAACTACTAGCAAGGTGATGGTCCCACCGACAATGGGGTGAGCCCTCCCCCATCGATCAACAATTAAGAAAATGCTCTACAGGCTTGCCTACTGCTAGATCTTATTGGAGGTGTTTTCTCTATTGAGGTTCTCTCATCTGATGACCCTAGCTTTTGTCAACTTGACATAAAAGTAGCCAGTACATTCTCTCTCTCTTCTCATGGATCAGTTAGTCTGCTGGTCATGTTTAGTCTATTACATTCTCTCCCTGCTCTGGACTCTTCAAGATGTCTCTGGCTGTACTCTTCCCTCCTATCTATAAGAACCTTCCCCTCAAACTTACCTTTGGAGGGGCCATGTCCTCACTTTATACACCTTTGTCTTTTTTTTTTCTTTTTTCCATATACTTGCCGAAACGTGGGCATATTTCCCCTGATGCCCTAAGCATTTTTGTTTTTCTCCTGAAGCAGTCCATGCCCCAGCTTCTGCCATATTGTTCCTTGTCCAACCTCCCTGTCTAACTCAAAAGGCAAGGCTTTCTTCTCTCTTTCTCTTTTCCCTATTATTCTTCTGGAAGCTGCTGAGACTTACAGTTTTCTTGCACTGTTGTTGTTATCTTTCTTAGACTCTAATAAAATTGTCCTCAGGCTTCCTTCTGGTCTGTTTTTAATATTTATTTTATTTCAGACAGGATCCCACTATGTAGACCAGGCTAGCCTGAAACTCATAGAGATCCTCCTGCCTCTGTCTGCCAGATGCTGGGATTAAAGGCATATGCTACCAAACCTGACTTTTTTTTTTTTTTAGTTCTTTTATTAATGAGACTAAGAACCCCAAAAATGGACTCCAATTTCCCTGATAACTGAAACTGCAGTTGGTTCAAGGCTAGAGGAAAGTAGGACCTTCCTCATAATAATCCTACATTATAGTTATCATCATAAATACACTCCTAGCTATAGATTCAGGAGAAATGAAAGTGTGTTTCATGAACTCTTATATATATATCATCATCATAACTTAAAAAAATGTAGAAAAAAATCTTCCAATGACATTTTTCTTGTTTTTTGTTTGTTTGTTTTGAGATTTATGTGTGTGAACCAGGTATGTGCCTGATGCCTTCAAAGGACAAAAGAGGGCATTAGCATCAGAATTCCCTGCAACTGGAATAACAGGGGACTGTGAGCTGAACCAGGGTCTTCTGGAAGAGCAGCCAATTTTTTTTTTTTTTTCAGGGGTGGTGGTTGGTTTCAAGACAGGGTTTCTCTATGTAATAGCATTAGATGTCCTGGAATGAGCTCTGTAGACCAGGCCTCGAAACTCATAGAGATCCACCTAGCTGGGATTAATGAGCTGCACCACCACCGCCTAGGTCGAATCAAGTAGCAAGTATTCTTAACCCCTGAGCCATCTCTCTATCCCCTAGTGTTTTAATTCAACTTGTTTCCTATTATTTTGACTTGGCATTTTTTCTTTTTTTAATGTGTCTGGATGTTTTGCCTGTATGTATCTCTGTGCACTACTTGATTGCCTGGTGCCCAAGGAGGCCAGAAGAGGGCATCAGATGCCCTGGAACTGTAGTTTTAGATGGCTGCCATGTGGGTGCTGGGAACTGAACCAGAGTCCTCTAGAAGAGTACTCAGAGCTCTTTAACTGCTTAGCAATCTCTCCAGTCCCCTCCCCTTTAAGAGACAGGGTATCCCAGGCTTGCTTCAAATTCACTATATACAAGCAGATGACCTTGAACTTCTGATCCTCCTGCCTCTACCTTTCAAGTGACGGGTTACGGGTGTATGCCACACTGAGTTTCAATGAATAAAATGTGTAACATCCATGCACTGCAATTTAGTTCAACCAAAAAAGGAATAAAGTACTGAAACTTCCTACAAAGTGGAAACATTGTGCACTATTACAGAAACCAGTTACAAATGACCATATATATTTATATTAAATACAAAAATAAATTGGGTGTGGTGGGACACACCCTTAATCCTAGGATTCAGAACACATTGGGCAGGCTGATGGCTATAAATTCAAGGCTAGCCTGGTTTACATAGTGAGATCCTATTTCCAAAAGCCTAGATACCAAACCTTCACAGATGCAAAGCCTTTTAAGTTGTTGGCTGAAACTAGAAGGATTGGGAGTCATAGTTAAAAGCAACAGACTTCCTTTTCATGAGTGGTAAACTAATCGTTGCTCAATTGTGAATATTCTAAGTCACCGAAAGAATAGCTTCAATGGATGATCATACAGTATGTGTCACATAAACCAAACAAGCCAGGACTTGTACTGCACACCCTGTTTAGATCCTTGTAACACCTAAAAACATGGCAAAAGCTTCTGGAGTATCTAGACCCACTGAGTTTCAAGCTACTTTCATTTGCTAGCTTGCCGGTTTAGCCCTTTAACAGTCACATACGAGTCTCTCTCCCTGGAAAAGTGGTAAGTTTTAAAAATACACATCATAACTAAGAATGAACCGTGTGGGATGCAAAGCCGACGTTCCATAAACATTATTATGCACGTATACAGAAAGGCACCGGAGGTTCTGATCGAACCTGTCTCAGTGCCCCTGGTCCTAGCCCTTCAGACTCTCTTGCTCTAGGACTGGAGGGCAGCAGCACAACTCACACCACCAGTGGACAAAAGTCCCTCCCCCACGAACCAGGGCTGAGGAAAGTGTGAGCGAGACCCCAGTGAGTCTTTAGGTAACTGTGGGTCCCAGTAACCGGTTAGCTCCACCATGAACACGCCAAGCGGCGCCGCCCTCGGACAAGCGAAGAGAACAATGCACCCAGCCCTGCCCACAGCGACCGAGCCGCGCC